CCTCGAAGGCAGGCAGACCTGGGTTCAAATGTGAACCCATCACCTGGGAGCTGTGAGACAGCGGGCAAGTTTATATGGGGCTCAGGCCCCCCAACCCCTAGTATTAAATAAGAGTTTAAATGTGAGATTTGGCTGAGCAGTTAATTTCTCAGCCTTAATATTTTTCTTGAAATTATCAGTATGGTAGATTTATAAAACCAAGAGCCATATCATGTAGTGGTTAGTAGCATAGTCTTTAGAGCCAGAGCACCTGGGTTCAAACCACGGAATCTTCCGCATGCAGACTGATAACCACGGTAACCTTGTCTCCACAAAGTTATCCTCGGTGGAGAGCCACTGCTCAACAATTCTTCCAGATCAATCTTCCTGCAGTACGTTCAGTTGATAGCGTTCCCTGCTGAAAAACTTTCAGCGGCTTCCTGTATCGTGTTGGAAAATATTCTTACCCCTCTGACTCTGGCCTCCACTCTGTTTCCTGTTGTATTCCTTATTCTCTTACATATCTTCTCTATAATTTAGACTGGCTGATTTATGAGAAACTCTTCAGGTAAATAAGTGGACAGATAAGTAGATGGGTGGATAGATAGATAGATAGATAGATAGATAGATAGATAGATTAGATGACTTCATTTTAGAAGTAAATAACAGTCAATTTCACTTTATGAAACTTAACTCTTTCAACCAAATGGGATCTCTTATTTTTGTCAGCATCTACATGCAAGTCCAAAGTTTATAAGGTTGGGCTTTTAAACCTTATAATGTTCAATTATTTAAATTAAATTTATTGGAGTGACACTGGTTAGCAAGATTATATAGGTTTCAGGTGTATAATTCTATGGTACATCATCTGAACATTGCATTATGTGCCCACCCCCCAAAATGAAATCTTCTTCCATCACCATAGAGTTCTTCCCCTTTATCTCTTACTATTCTCCCCTTCCCTTCCCTCCGGTAACCACCATACTATTGTTAGTGTCCACAAGTTTTTGTTTGTTTGCTTTATTGTTTGTTCATTTGTTGCTTTCAGTTTTATATCCCACATATGAGTAAAACCATATGGTTGTTAATATTTTCTGACTTATTTCGCTGAGCATGATATTCTCAAGATCTATCCATGTTGTCGCAAATGGCAGAATTTCATCTTTCCTTATAGCTGAGTAGTATTCCACTGTATGTATGTACCACATCTTCTTTATCCAGTCATCTATCAAAGGACAACTTGGTTGTTTCCAAATGGCCACCAAGACATTTTTGTTACTTAGCAGTTTGTTTATTGGGTTTCTAATTGACAAGCTTTTTTGGAACCCTCCAGAGGGTAAAGAAAGATACATGGAAGGATGAGAAGCATGAGCTCGGAGATCTGTTAACACGAGGGCACACTTGGTGATGAACGCATGCTACACATTAGACAAGTCAGCATTATTTATTTTATTCAATGTATTGGAGTGACATTGGTTAATAAGCTTAACCAATACATGATCTGTAGATTGCACTGTGTGCCCATCACACCCAAAGTCATGTTCAATTTTTATATTCTATAAATTTGATTTTGGAAAACCCCGTTACAATATGAACAAAATACCCACATATATTTAATATTTTAAAAAATAACTTTAAACATCTCTGATCATGCAAGAGTTATTGACTGAGGCAGGAATGGCTTCCTGGGCGTGTGGGTAGGGTGTGACCTTGTAGTTGCTCAAGGACATTGTCAGCAGGACCCTGTGTTTGGTTTAATGCTCTGCTGCTGCTATCTTGAAATTCTTAATTGTTTTATTTTTTATTTTATGTTTTGTAAGTGCAGTCCCCTGGGACAGTGGGGCATGGACGTGATGAACAGAGGCTGCAGGGGGCAGCTGGGCACACACAGGGCCAGGCCTGCAGGCACAGGAGGCAGTATAAAGCCAGCAGTTGGCCAGGCACCAGGCTGACACAGGCATGCCTCAGCAGTCTGGGATGCTGTGTGTCCCCAGAGCCACCAAAGCAGAGCTCACCAGGCTAGCAGTGGCAATCGCAGCTGCAGCAGCAGTAGTGGCCGCCAAGGAGATAGGGGGAGCTCCCCCGAGGCAGACTGGGAGAGAACCCACGGCGAGAGGCCAGCTGCCTGTCACTCCCAGGAGCCTATTCCTGCAGTCTCTACACAAATATTAAATGTTCTGCCCAAGTTCCAAGGCTGTGTCTGCGGAGTGCTAGAAATACACTCTGCCAATAAATTATTACCAAATAGAGAATACACATGGACATTGCAAGAAAGCATTTGAGAGAGTTATTAGAATTCTTTGTTGCTTACAATGCCCAGTTTTGAAAACATCTGCGACATTGCAAAGTAAATATCCACCAGCCTAGAAATACAGATTAAATTCAAAGATCATCACATTTGATGGAACATAACACTATTTTCATGTGAAGCTGTAAATGAGCTAATTATTAACAAGGAAGATAATTTTTTAAATTAAACTCTTTCTTGTAATTGAAAATAAGGGAAAATAATACGTAAACAGGAATTTTGGGTTGTATACAAATCATAAAGCTACTTTTGGTTTCCTGTATGACCTCAACCAGTTACCAAAAATGTTAGAGAAAATATTAAAATACCATTGAGACATTTACATCAAATTCAGTATAAAGGCAGTAGAAGGGATGCATTTGTTCTGTATCTTGACTGTGTTGATTAATACACAGACCTACACAGACAATAAAATTGCATAACACTAAATACACACACAAATGGGTACATGTAAATTATTAAAATGTGGATGAGATCACTGGACTGTATCCATGTTAATTTCCTGACTGTGACATTATATTATAGATGTAACCATTGGGGAAAACTGGTGAAGGGTACATCTTTATTATTTTTTATAATTATCATTTTAAACTATAACATACAAAGATTCATTTTTTAAAAATCACATTTACACATACATGAAACTGACTTGTATGAGTGTTTTATCTTTGTAGATAAATTCTTCTATGAGAATAAGCTCCAGCATACTAATATTTATGTTTATAAATAATTTATTAGAAATTTATCCCAATGTTATTGCAGCCTACAGAATACTCTTAATAACTCCAGAAAAATTTCATCAACAAAAAGATCTTTCTTGAAATTAAAAAAAAGCATCAAGAATTATTTGTGATCTTATTAGCCAAAAGAAACTGATGCCACTTTCAGTTTTATCATTAAAAATGAAATTATCAATTAAATGAATTTTGATACCTAGGAAGTGACTTTGCAGAAAATAAACCAGAAAAAGTGTGTGATCAATCAAGATATTACAATAATACTGTATTATTATTTATTGTATGATATATAATCATACCACAATATTTTTTAAATGATGTACCTTTATGTTGCTACTAATCAGTCACTATTACCCTGTTAAGATTTGTAATAATATATTTTAAAGGAAAAATATTTATGTATTTTATCTTTAACAATGTTTTTTGCTTTTTTTGTGTTTTTTTTCTGAGTTCTGAACTAAAACGTCCAAACTTTCAGTTTATAGTGGGCTTCGTAAATTATGTAATTCCGGGCCTAGGGAATTTGATGCAAATTAAACAAAAAATAATAATTTTATCAAAGGGTAGGTAAGGTATATTGAACAGCTTATTTTTGGAGAGTTGAGCTTGGATTAAACTTTTGAAATGACATCATAAACTGCATCTAATAACTAATATAAGAAGTCATATTTTTCCCCCAGAGATTTGCCAAGATGTTATTTGCTTATTTTAATCTATTTTAGTATTTTTTAAAAAGCCAATGAGATTTATCATCAACCCTGACATTTTTAGGGAAATCTTTCCATTTATCAGACCTGTATTTCAAAATGCTTATGTTTTTTATTTAAGAAATGTAAGATTAAGGACTTCACAAATATAAGAAATATAAGATTAAGGACTTCACAAATATAAGAAATATAAGATTAAGGATTTCAGAAAGGCCAGATTTTCCGGAAACTTTGAAATGAGCTCATCAGCATTCATCTTTGGCATTTTTATGTGATGCCCACACCATTGTCCCAAAAGTGATTTTAGTTTTAAAAACAACAAACCTAAAACTGAATAGGAAGGTATATTTTAACAGTGGACTATGGTCTAGTTCAGTGGTTCTCCACCTTGGCTGCCCATTAGAATCACCTGGGAATCTTTTTAAAATCCTGATTTCTGGGCCTCATCCTCCAGAAATTCTGTTTCTTTGTTACTAATGTTGTGGCCTCAGCCCATCACAAAGAACAGAATTTCCGGAGGATGAGGCCCAGACATCAGGATTTTAAAAAGCTTCCCAGGTGATTCTAATGTGCAGCCGAGGTTGAGAACCGCTGGTCTAGTTCATAGTGCCTGGCAGGCTTGGAAAACCATCAAGTCTGTGAGCCATGAGGAGAGCCTCCTGTGCAAATGCTGCGTTCCCAGGTGTCTCCACGCTCAGTGCCTGGAATACTCCTGTGTAAGGCCATGCTCACGGTTGATTCTGCTCCCCGGCTGGCTCAGTCCATGTTCTCTTTCTCCTCTGTTCCAGAATGACTCTTGGGGGAAGCAGTATTCCTATGCGCTCTTCAAGGCCATGAGCCACATGCTGTGCATCGGGTACGGCGCGCAGGCCCCGGTCAGCATGTCGGACCTGTGGATCACCATGCTGAGCATGATCGTGGGGGCCACCTGCTACGCCATGTTTGTGGGCCACGCCACGGCTTTAATCCAGTCTCTGGACTCCTCCAGACGGCAGTACCAAGAGAAGGTAATGTGTTTTCTCTCTAATATCTCCAACCAGCTATGTTGTAAATGTAACTAATCGCGTTCAAGATAACTACACCATCTCCTCTATTAAACGTGTAATGAGATAAAATGTTTAAAGCAGGAAAACACAATCTGTTTCGATATTTTGAGGTTTCGTCAAGATGGTCCTGATAGCTTTCGTTTCCAATTTCTCTCTTGAATGATAATTTTTTAAAAAAAAAATACTCTGAATTTGCACTCACAAGAAAAATAGTTACATGTTTCAAGATGTCTGAAGCTGCCCTAACTGGTTTGGCTCAGTGGATAGAGTGCCGGCCTAGGAACTAAAGAGTCCCAGGTTCTATTCAGGTCAAGGGCATGTACCTTGGTTGCGGGCATATCCCCAGTGAGGGGTGTGCAGGAGGCAGCTGATGTTTCTCTCTCATCAATGTTTCTAACTCTCTATCCCTCTCCCTTCCTCTCTGTAAAAAAATCAATAAAATATATATTTTTTAAAAAGTCTGAAGCTGATTTAAGGTATTATCAAGGTTCATGTTCCTCAGTTAAAATAATAGAAAGCCTTCTCTGGTGTATGTAAGAAAATGGTAGCTGATTAAATGGGGACAGGCGTCCATTGCCTGTGTCCCTCTGTGCTCTGTGTGTTAGCATCATAATTCATATTATAATCCGTATGCTTAGCGCAACATATGTTGCCCTTGTGTCTAGATAAGTCATCACACACTCAGTCTTAATCATGCATATTAACAGCTGCTACCATGCATTCATATACACCATGTGTTAATTAAAATGTTTGCCGTTCGAAATTGCCCAAAAGAGAGAGTAAAAGTAGATATATGCAATTATTTATTCTAGGATTTTTTTTTCACGTGCTGAACAACTTTGGTGAGGCTAGACCTTGGAACCTCAGAGAGCTCTTACATTCCTGACTAAACATAAGTAATGCTCTGAAAGATAAATAAGAATATTTCATCCCTGAAGGAATAATTTACTCTGTAGGGGCTCTGTTGAACCTGAGAACATATAGTATACACCTTGCCAAAGAGCATTTGTGACAGTAACAGTTCCAATAGTTCTAGAACACTACTTTGGTGAGAGATCATGGCTTAGACTTCTAATTCCTTACAAAATAGCCAGAGGTCGTTTCAGTTTCATTTGTGAAAGTTTTTAACACTGTACTCACACCATGGGAGAAAGGGAACCTAGGTACTTTATTTCTCTTGAAGGAAATTGCATGGCCACCCACTGTTATAAAAGCAAGGGGTATTTTATTACTAAAGAAATGAAAAAATGAACCATCAGAATTGCTTTGAGGTTCATTTTAATACAAAGCCTCCAATTAAGTTGTAAAGAACAAAGCCCATAGTGATGGACAAGAGAATGAATTCAACTGTGACTTTGACTAAAAATTGTACCTTAAAGGAATTGGGGCTAAATTTATGGGGATTTAAGACTACAACACAGTATATGTTTCTATTAAGCTCTTTCTTTTTCCCTTCTGGTTGATATTGTTTTTCATAAAAATGCTCTTTTCCTACCTCCTTTTTTGTCCACAACATTACAACTATTTTCTCAAATACAAATGAGTCTCCAAATCCCAGGATGGCATTTATTGCCATTATATTGCATATTAAGTGGACTCACCATTTCTATGTGTTTAGATCAACTATATGAACCAGTTATAACTTGAAAACCTAATTCATTCAATGATGTAATCATAGACATTCACAAAGAAAGCTATTATGATGTTTGCCATAATTTAAATCATCAAGTTTTGGTTTTTAATTAAATGTATTGGGGTGCTGTGGGTTAATAGGATTATATGGGATTCAGGTGTATAATTCTATGACACATCATTGTGTACCCAACACCCAAAGTCAAATCTTCTTCCATCAGCACATATTTGACTCTGTTTAACTTTTTACCTCTTCATCTTACAAGTGCTTAATAGAGGGCAAGCACACTGGGAGTGGAATTTCTGGGTTCTATCATTATTCTAAGTTTAACTTTTTGAGGAACCTCTTATTTTGTAGTTATCAGAACCATTTGCCATGAATTCCTAATCAATTAATATTGATATTATTTTCACTGCGATGTATTCATTAGCAACATTATTTTTATGTAAAAGAAGCAAGCTCCAATGAATACCTTTTATAGTAGCCATTCAGAATGCGCTGGTGTTCAGCTCACCTAATTCTGGCTCCAGAGTTCACTCAGAGGTTGAAATTGGTAAACCATCAATCCTTGGTCTTTCCTGGTAAATGAAGGACTATAATCAGGACTATCGCGTGCATTTCTTATTCTGTAGAAATAATTTTTTAAAATCAGTCTAATCTTGCAAATGTGTAAAAGCTAATGGTATAACCAGAGACACGGCTGGCACCAAGCCCTGCTCTCCTTTTCAATCCACTCCAGTCCTGTTCGCAATAAAGCACACTTCAGGCCATTGCAGATAAAGTGATTATGGCTAGTATACTTGTTTCCCCCGTAATAAGACCTTCAGGAAGAATTTGGGTGGACATGGAGTGGTCCCAGATCAACTTTTAAACTCTCTATTTTCTAGCCAGACAATTACAGTTATTGTTCTCTCAACAAACCAAATGCTTCTGACCTGACCCTCCTTTCTTCCTAACCCCTTCCGTGCTTGTACCCCCTTCACTGTTTACATAGATTTTGTTACTGGACTAAAAAGGTCTATTTTCCTTACACACATCAAAGCCCAATCAGATAAGAACAAAAGTTTGCAGCAAAGAAGAGTTTATTAGTTGAGGAAGTGGCCCACACTAAAGACACAGGTGAGCTAATGCTCAAAGACCTGGCTCCCAGACAGCTTCCAGGGGATGGATTATATTGGGGGGCGGGGGGCATCAGTCATGGTGACTAAGGGAGTTAGGGTCATGGTTTCTACTGATTGGTTGGCGCTGCAAGAGGGGGTCATTGGTCATTACACCTGGTCCTGACACCAGCCTGTTGTTGCTTCATCTGGTTTCCTCAATTTTCTGGGCCTGGAGCTGAAACAACTGAGGCCTAGATATTGTCTCTAGTTTGACTGAAACTGTGTCTGGGATCAGCAGACCCTGGGCTTTGTTCCTGTGACTGTCTGATGCGGATCAGAACCTCATTGTCCTGAGGGCTTCATGATTAAGGGAGTGAATGTGCAAGGGAGAAGGAGGCAGGTGAGTCAGGTGCTGAATGGGCCAACTTCAATCAAAAGGAGAAAGGAGAAAAGGTCACATCGAAGAGATGATGTTTTTGTGTGTTTCTGTTCTGTCCTTCTCTCTGGAAGGCTGTGACGTCTTCCCTGGTTATTCCAACCCATAGTAATCTGTTGGTTGTGTGTATTCTATCTGTCCAAGGGAGAATAAGCATCATGGCGGCCAGATCTGTGTCTCTGCTGATGTGAATTTCAGCCCCATACATGGCAACCTCAGTATAGTAATGCTGAGGATGCAATAGTACTTCATGGGGCCCTGAGGAATAAGAGTGATTACAGGTGTCCAGCCTTTATTCTAGCATAAATGAGAAGAAGGGGGTCATAATTTGTGTTTTTCCGAATGCTGTCACGAGTATACATGACAGCATCTTTTAAAATATATATTATGTATTTTATTGAGGCATATGTAAACACTAGAGGCCCAGTGCACAGATTCGTGCACTGGTGGGGTCCCTTGCCCTGGACTGCAGGGATTGGGCAGAAACTGGCTCTCCAACATCCCCTGCGGGGTCCCAAATTGCGAGAGGGTGGTTCTCAGGTGACGTACCCTGGAATCGGGCTCCCTCATCTCTAGTTCTTGGTGTGTCACCCAAGAACCACTGCTGCCAAGTGACTGCATTTCGGCAGCCCCTGCATTGAGTATCTGCCCCCTGGTGGTCATTGTGCATCAGAGCTACTGGCCAGTTGGCCAGTTGGCCAATGGGTGGGTTGGCCAGTCGCTTAGGCTTTTATATATAGAGATATTGTAAACATGTTGCCTCAGGTTTTACAGCAATTGATGGCAGGTGTAGGTATACATGTGTTTGACATAAGCACATCACTTTAGAAACTAAATTTTCAATATGCTTTCCCGTCTGGAATTCTGGCCTTGATTTCCCTGTAAGTAAGAGGTGTATTATTATCTAAGTGTCTTTCATCGGGGTGAAGAGATTTCTTAGTTGCTGGGTTGATCAGGAGCGTGTGTGTCTTTAGGCCATGATGGATCCACTGTCTCAAAAAGGTGGATGGGGGAGCAGGTTGCTGCCCTCATGTAACTGAGTCTTTAATTTTAAAAAATATATTTGACCAGAGTAATGGCAAAGCAAAGAGGAAACATCTGGAGTGATGGTCACAATGGTTTATAAATAATCCTATTATTCAGTTAAAAAGACAGAAGCAACAGTCACCACCTCTTTTGCAACCTTTCCTCATTATATCAAGAAATTTAGCTAGTTGAGCTGCTAATTTGGCTTATTGATTTGGAGGCTCTGATAGTATTTGTCTTCAGAGGACAAAGGGGCTTTGATGTATATTGATCTTGACCTTTGAAAATCATATCGACCCGGAGCTTAAATGAAAAAGAGCTTGATACCTCATTTTCATGGGCGACATTGTTAGGGGGAAGACTCAGCTCTAAATCCACGTGCATTCAGCAAACTGTTTCCCTTGCTTTTCTTTATTATTCGCAAAAGCGTCTTTCCTTCCTTTACAAATGAGAATGCCGCCAGCACAACTCCCACATGGCTCCTTAATTAGTTGGAAAGATTTCCGATTGCGCTATACCATATCCTTTTTCTTCCTGGGAGCTGAATTTATCCCACTCAGAGAGCCAGCTAGTGCCACCAAACGTTCTCTGGCCAGGAAGATCCTAGGACAGGGGCTGTCTGTGGGGTTCTCTCCTAGGGAAACAGTGGTGCGGTAGCCCTGGAGTTAGCATCATGTGGCCACTTGAGTTGCTAACAAATTAGGCTCCTGGCAGAATGATGAGAGTTTACATTCTCAGCTAGGAACTTGTTTTTATATTAAGTAAG